TATACAGATTCTAGCTATTTTTATTAGAAGTAGTGTCAGAGATGGGACTTTTGCCCAGATCCTCTGACTTCAAGTCCAGTGGTCTATCTGCTGAGTCTCGGACCCATCTTTCCTTTATGAAGCCTTCCCTGATCACCCCAACCAAAACACTCTTTTCCTCTGAAATGTCAAGAACACTTAGTATCTGTATCATTCATCTGTCACTTGGCATTACTGATTGACAAGGGATAAGAAGGCATGGGTCTGTGCCAAGGTATGGCATATGATCTCAAAGCTCAATTGAAGTATCAGAGAATAAGGGCTTACTGACCTGTATCATTATCCATTTTTGTGCACGTGTCAACCATATATCAAACATTTATTAAGTATCTACTATGTAATCTAGTTTGTAACTAGATTATAAACTTCTTGAGGGCAGAGGCTACATCAGGTTAGTGTCTGTAAACCCTACAGCACTATAGAAGGGTTCTGGAGCTTACTGATGAATAAGAAATTCAGAAAGGACTTGTGCTTTTCTGAGCTCATTAAGGCTCTAGCTTGAAAAGGTACTAGTTGTTGCTCGATGCTAAACAACCTACGTGCAAATGTTAGGATACACTATAAGGTATTGAAAGGCACTAACAGTAACAATTGCTCCCCATGTGTAAAAGAAATTTCTGTGGTGGGATAAACACAGATGGGAGTCCATATAATAGGAAAGGAAGAGCTGGAGAGAGTAGGAACCCAGGCACATGCCTCTCTTCTCATTGCCTCTTTTGTCCTTGGTTACTGGGCTTGTTAAGGAATAATAAGTCTAGGGGTAATTTATGTCCTCAAATAGATTATAAATCACCCTCCTTGGTCTTTCTTTTTTTTCCCCCATTTTATAACCTTGGACTACTTCTGAAAGCCAATGCCAGCCCTGTGGGGTTGATAAGTCAATCAGGGCAAGCCTATTATTAGACTGCAGAGACCCAACCCAGGCCAGATTCCATACGTCTTCAACTATAAGTACCCCATTTCTAGTGCTCCCTGAACAATCACATAAACAAGGCTAACAAGCTAATAATTTTAGGAATCTGGGCGAATGAATCAACACAGAAAGTGAGAAGTGAATGGAAGACTCAACAGAGAGAACTACTGATCAGAACAAGCAATGGAGATATGGTAGGCAGCGACTTTCTGACATCAGACAGCTGTAGGGGCTCCCTGCTTAGACATTGAAGGGGGTTGGGACAATTTCTCAGTATGTCCGCCCTTTTCTTGGAGCCATGAGGAAAGGAAGTGACTCTAAAGTAGTCATTTTACCCAAACTAGATTCAATCCACAGAATAAGGACCATACCTCCTCACCTCAATCAGCAGTTCTAGTTTTTATGGATGTAAGTGCTGGTGAGGAAACAAAGGTAGGGCAATTGATGTTACTGCTGTCCCGCAAGTCAGTCTCAGTCTCTGTCTCTGTGCTGTGTCTCTGTCTGTCTCTGTCTCTCTCTCTCCTCTCAAATTATGGACTTCTTCCTCACCTAATGCCCCCTTCTTCAAGAATTCTCCATGAACCAATCTCAAACACTTACATACACAGGCTCCCAGAATTTCTCTCCAAAACAACCACTGCTGTATATTCTGGGATACCCGCCAAAGCAGGGATATATAACAATTTTGTTATATGACCAGATACAATTAAGGCAGTTCTTGTGATTTACTATTGTTTGAACTTTTTGTAATGCCTTTATTTCATCCTAGAGTCCATGAAGCCATATATTACTGACATAATCTAACATCACAAATGCAACCTTGAATATTTGCCTTTCTGTTAAATCAGAAATCCTTAACCTCTTTTATATCACGGACTCCTTTCTTTGATAGTCTGGTGATTCTTAAGGACTCTTCTCAGAATAATATTTTTGAATGCATAAAATAAAAAAAAACACAGGATTACTAAGGAAACCACTTTTTCCACTGCACTAGGCTGCCCAGTTCCCAAAAAATGATATTAAAATAGCATGAGCTCAAGGGCCTTCACCATCCCAGTCACCCTCTTCTGGGTACTCTCCAACTTACCAATGTACTTCCTGAAATGTGGTACCCAACACAATAGATGTGGTCTCAACAGAGCAGAATACAGACAAACAATGATGCTTGAGGATGATTGGACAAAGGTAATTCCAGGGTTGAATTTATCATGGGATTTTGAATGACTTTAACATAATAATGGGTGATACCTTACTGGAATGGACCTTTACAATTAAGCCTCCATGTTAAAGGCAATGCAATTTTAAAGACACCCAAGGATTAATTTGCAAAATATCAGAGAGATGAGGAGTAGGGGAAGGTAATGGGAAGGAGAAGGGGAAAGGGGAGGGGGATTACTAGCTACTGACGTATAGGACATCCTCATTTCTATTTTAAAAGAACATGTTTTCTGAAAATCTCTCTGGAATGTGTTTTTGTAGGTATTGAGGGTATCGGTGATTTTTAAAAAATGAGAAAGGAAGAAGCAGGTGTCATGAGTAATTTTTTACAGCAGAATGCATAGGATCAAAATTCTAGAGTTGGAAGGAAACTTAGGGGTCATGTAGTCCAACCTCTTCACATTATAGATGAGCAAACTGAAACCCAGACACATGGAATGACTTGTCCAAGGTCACCCAAGTAATAATGGACAGAGTGGGGATGGGAACTCAGAGCCCGTGACTCCAAGTACAATATTCCAACCTCCTTTCTTTCCACTTCACCAGTCACACAACTAAGAAGTGTAACTAAGAAAATACAAAATCCCACTGTCTATTGATTGTTGATTACATGTATAGCCTGTATCAGATCACATGCCATCTTGGGGAGGGGAGACGAAAGGGAGGCAGATAAAATTTAGAACTCAAAATCTTATAGAAGTGAATGTTGAAAATTGAAATCAAATAAATAAAAGTTTGTTTAAATAATAAAAAATATTTAAAAAAAAAGATTGTTGGTTACATAAAAGTATTTGATTTGGCAAAGCAACACACTTTTCTTTTTATTATTTTGTACAACCTTAGTGTGAACATTGTTGTTCTGACCATCCTCTCTGCACTCTGCATCACCTCATATGTTTTTTCCATATTTCTTTGTATTCTTCATTATTTGTCATTTCTTATGACACAATAATATTTCGTGGCATGACTCTGATACTCTCTATTTAGCCATTGACCAGTCAGACATATGAACTTCCCAGGTTTTTCTAGAACTAATAAAGTTGTTGACAGTTTTGCTTACATGGGTCTTTTTTTCATTTTAACAGGACAGCCAGGTGTGGTGGTACATACCTGTAATCCTTTATTACAGGTAAGGCTTGAAGTTAATTGCTTGAGCTCAGGATTTCTGAGTTGCAGTAGGGTAAAAACCAATTGGGTGTCTGCACTAAAACCAGCACCAATAGAATGAACCACTAGGAGCTGAGAGTCACCAGCCTGCTAACTAACCTAGGCCAGAAAAATGGGACAGATCAAAACTTCTGTGCTAATCAATATTGGGATCAGGACCATAGCTGGACCCTGCACTTCTAGCTTAGACAAAATGGGAAGATCCAGTCTCAGATTTAATAAGATATAATCCTATTTGTAGGATCAATGGATCAAAGGGAATATACAGTCATTTTTTAAATTCTTAATGTACACTCAATTCAACAATACATGAAACATTTATTAAGAACCTACTATGTGCAAAGCACTCTGTGAGGTGCTAGGAATACAAAGCAAAGACAGAAAAAGGAAAGAGAAGCTTCAATGATGGGAGAATAAAATGTAATGCAAAGTATATATGAAGCAGTTTTCAGAAGTAAAGACCACCAACAGCTCAAGTAATCAGGAAAGGTCTTGCTGAGCTGCACTTTGAAGGAATCTAAGAATTCTAAGAGGCTACATGTATAATGGATATTTATATGCATAACATATTTCATGTATTATACATGTACTGTATACAACCATATTGTTTTCTAAAGAGATTACAATGGCTACACTAGCTGTATAGCAAGCCCATTTTTCCACAGCCCTGCCAACATTGAATTTTATAGTTTTTAACATCATTGCCAATTTAATAGCTATAAAATGATATGTCAGAGTTCTTTTAACTTGCACTCCTTTCCTTGTTAGAAGATTTAGACAGTCTTTCCAGGTGGTTATTAATTTCTGTTTCTTCTTTTACAGGCTGCCTGTGCATTTCTTTGACCATTTATCGACTGAAGAATTCACCTGTGTCATAAATTTCTTGATTCCTTACACACTTGGGGGATGTCAGATTTTTATCAGACACATTTAAGCTACTTAAGTAACAAAAGCCAAAATAACATAGAGTATAGAATCTCAGAACTGGAAATAACATCAATGATCTAGTTCAACCTTGACGTAAAGTGTAAATCACCTCTTTAAAGCATCCTCCAGTCTCTACTTGAATAATACCGCAACAGAGAAGTCACTACCTACCAAGGCAACCCATTCCATTTTTGAAAAGTTCTAATCAATCAATCATTTACTAAGTGCCTAATCATTTGGAAGCTCTTGCCTATATCAGACTGAAATCTGCCTTCCAGCCAAAGTCATTCATTCACCCTAGTCATGACTTCTAAAATCAAGCAGAATAAAGGTCATAGAATCATAGAAATGAGTTGGAAGGAACCTTAAGAGCCCATCTAGTCCAGTCCTCTTCATTTCACAGATAGGGAAAATTAGGCTTGGCCTATGATCACTCAGGTAAATAGTAGACCTAGGAACTCCACTGACAATGCTCTTTCCACTATCTCACACATAATTATCTTAATTGTTTGCTGAGGTAGACTGAAAAGGGTGATCACAGAAATTGAAAAGGTTGATGAACTGGAAGGTAAGTGTGTTTGAAGACACATTAATATAAATACTTAAGTTACCTAGTAGAAGGGCAGGGGTAGGGTTGGAGAAGAAAACTGTCGTTTCTGGAAATTTTATTGTCCCCAGAGAATCAATTTCTTCTAATTAAAAAACTACCCTCACGCAAATGAAGAGCTGTGTTTACCTTGAAACAGAAACGCTTTGCTGGTATTGTGTAGTCCTGACACCTGAGTAACTCCAACAGTTGTATTCACAAGATCAAGCTCCGTGATAATGTCAAGTTGAAGGGCAGGGTCCATTCCAAAGCCTACCACTGCAAAGAAACAATGAGACATTTCAGCTTAAAATACAAAATCATATTGGCAATACAGAAAACTACAGTCAAGTGTGAAGAGAATATAGATGCCTTCTGAGACAAGGACTTAACTACAATCACACTCCCAAAAAGAAAGAGAAAATTTTTGTCTCCTTATTGCTACTACCTCCTTTACTCTAGCTTTTTACATCAGCAACCCCCTTCTCCACCCCACCCATGCTAGAGATTCTGAGAAAGACAAGAGAGCTCTTATGCTACCCTCACCAACAGGGATGTCCCCAGAGTGCTCCCAATTAATCAAAACCTAACTGCCTGTAACAAAGGGGATAAAGGAAGCTTTTGCCTGGAGAAAGAAGCAGAAATGGAACAGAATAATAATAATGACTGACATTTCTATAGTGCTTTAAAGTTTGCAAAGTGATTTGCATGCATTATCTCACTTAAGCCTTACCACAACCCTGAGAAGAAGGTGCTGGAAATATTATTATCCCCATTTTCTAGATAAGGAAGTGGAGGGACTTGCCCCAAATCCCACAGCAGTCAGTGTCAAAGGCAGGGTTTCAACTGTCTTCCGGACTTTGTGTTTAGCACTGTACCCCCAAGCTGTTTCTCAGGGAAGAAAAACAATTTGTATCTTCCTCATAAGCTTTCAGCTAGGATGACTTCCAGAGAGAAGCCCGAGTACACACCCCACCCACTTGGACTGAGCACACGGGCCTGGGTACCTCACACTCATCTCCAAGGCATAAGCCTTCCATTTCCTCGCTGAGGACAGGAAGCAACAAAGAACACCCTGCTTGGAATCAGAGGTGGGGTGGGAGGGTGCAAGGTGGAATAACTTGTTCCTGATTGCAAAGTGATTCCCAATTATCAAAGGAAAAAGCAAAAGAAAATCCTAATAATGTCCCCGGCACATTCTATCCAGTTGACTATGCTAAATCATTCATTAAGTCTGGGTCTACACTTAGCATCTCAATAGTGCAATTTTAGTTGCGCGGTTGGAGATGCGTTAATCAGCTACAGCTGTCAACTTTTGCCTAATGGTAGTATGGATGGAAGCTTTGTAAATCTCACTTTGAATTTGTCCAGTAGAGACAGGAGATGAAGGTCACTTAAACGAGGTGAACTATGATTATCATATTTACTTACGCATTTCCTTCTCTATCCTATGCATTTGGAAAAAAAAAAAAGCATGCAAGCAGAAACACTTGCTACCAAATAATCCCATTCTCTCCCCCTGCCCTAAATAATAGCTGCCAGTCAAGTTTTCTCTAAATAAACCCTTTTTTTGCAATGTTCAAATAAAGGGTTAAATTAAAGGCACAGCTGGTCATTGACTGGTCTGGGAATAGGGGAAAGGATTTGAGTAATTACTCCTCTGCCCCTACCAAGCTGTTTCTAACTCACTTCCCTCCCAATCTCTGCTTGTCTCCTTCTTCTACTGGCCTGGGGGAGGGGGGGTACAGGGATTTCAGTCCCCAAATAGAGGGGCTGCAGCAGCTTTCAGGTTGATCTTTTCCAAAGCCCCCATGAGTTAATCCCCACCCCTAGAAAGGAAAGAAAATCCTAAACCATTAAATTATTTGCAAATTATTGCCTTCAGTCTTTTGTCACAAATGCACATAGGCTTCCTTTATTTTAATTTTCCCTCTAAGAAAGGGAGAAATGTTGAAAATCTAGATGCCAATTACATTTGTTATTGATTGTTTTATAACCCTGGGTCAGTCACTTTTTTCATGGGAGAGAATATCAGAAATTTATCCCATATAGGAAATTTAGTAGATGTAGCTCTTTTTCCCAGGGTACTTCAGTTGAATAACAGAGGTTACCAAGTAGTTATGGACTCTCTGAGCACAGGGGTGACTGACCTTCAGCTGAGTGAGGAGGGTGCAACTAGCATGCTTTCATCCCAAATATTGCTGTTGCATCTGAATTCTTTCTCCATGCTATGTCCCTGACCTTGTTCTGTATCAAGCCCTCTTACTTTGAACTCATTGCTCTCGGATTCAGGTCACCTTCTGCACAATGCCTAACATATAGAATGTCCAGCACATAGTAGGCACTGACTGTCCTGCTTGAGCTCCTGGGTTTGATCTCAGATCTACTACCCATTTTCTGGATTATTGACACTACTTGTATCCCAAGAATGGGACACTGAACTGGAACCATATCTCTTTTCCTCCTACTTCTAGGCTCTATATCTACCTGTTAATTATCACTAATGTCCTGCAGGCTTATACAGAGCATCAGTGTGCCCACAAATGGGGGAGGGAGGCAGATGTATGCAGGGCACATGTCTAAGTTTAATCTGTTCTATTAATACTTTCTCTATTACTTGAGTCTAGAAAAGAAAAAAGCAAATTAAAAAAAAAACAATAAATCAAGCCCCAATTTGTAACCATTGCCAATTTAAGATGTATAAATGTTCACATTGAAAATTTAACAATCAGTTCTCTCCAACTGCTCTGAGCTGGCTCCAACACACCTCTGAGAGTACCCCCCCTCCCACCCAACCCCCAACCTTTCCATACAGTCAGATCCCTAATTCCTTCTTCAACCTTGTCTTAGGTGAAAATATGGCTAGAGTGAGGTGGGGAGATTCTGTGAGGAAACTGAGGGAGAAAAAATGATCTCAGGATTTCTCCGAAAACTTTTAAAGTAGTGAACTTTCTGCAATATTTTAATGTAATATTAATTGAATAAGAAGAAGCCTTGCATAGCAAATAAAGGGTGAGCCTTGGCATATGGAAGATCTGAATTCAAGCCTTGCTTAGGATATGTGCTAGCTGTGCCCATATGCAAGGCATTTTATCACTCACCTTTCAGTGTTCCAGACAATTCTCTAAGACTGAAAGTGACTCTACATTGGTAGTGACTCTGCCCACACTTAGAGTTCATTATACTGGTTGAATTCACAGGTCTAGACTACCCCCTCCCTCAAGAAATGGATATGAAAAATCTGGTCAGGTTAATAAGGTATCTATCCCAACCCATCTGGAAGATTCCATGATATACTTCAATAATTAATTGATCTACAGAGTCATAAGTATAATCTGAGAAAGGACCTAAACCAGTCAAGAGACAGATAAATAGGGGAAGAGATGCCAAAATTTCTTTGTAAATTGACCCTCTAACTCTAAAAAGACTATAATGCTATTAACATATTTTTTCAACCCATGAAGGGAAAGAATAAAAATGGCAGAGGAGAATGCCCAATAATGTTTTCAGCAAGAAAAGAATAATTAGCAAATTCATTAGTCAAGGTTCTGTTTGTATGTCAGGACCTCTTTACCTCTGTCCCTGCCACAGGGTTTGGATGAGTCACAGAAGACCTGACCCTTTGCAGCCCACATCATCACTTCCAGAGAAAACCAAGGTGCCCAACCAAGCCCACAGTCTAGAGAACAGGATGAAGCTTTCCTAGACCATTAGCAAGGATGCTGCTTTAAGTGAGCAAGAATTCCACTCAGAAGAAACAATTCAAGTCAATAAGTGTTTATTAGGAGATTACTACGTGCAAGGAGCTGTGGACTCACACAGTTGGTCCAACGCCAAAAAGTCCTACCTGAGTATTCCTCGTGCCTTGCAAGAATGCATCCAATTTTGGGGCAGCTAGGTGGCGCAGTGGATAGAGCACCGGCCCTGAAGTCAGGAGGATCTGACTTCAAATCTGGCCTCAGACCAAACACTTGACACTTACTAGCTGTGTGACCCTGGGCAAGTCACTTAACCCCAATTGCCTTAAAAAAAAAAAAGAATGCATCCAACTTAAAGCCTCAAACCAATGCTAATCTGCCCCCAATGGCATAGGACTCCTAAGCCTACCAACTTACCCAGAGTAACCTGACATGTCCTGTCAGCTAGTGTCTAGTAAATTCAAGGGGTAGTGAAATCAAGGACAGAAACCAGGATTCTACTTTCACCTTGAGAATATAGAGTAAAGAATTCATATTACCATTTGATTTGTCCACTCCCTGTCCATGTATTCCAGGAATCAAACCAGAGATGCACTCAAAGAATCTTTCGATCAATCTTTTTATTGTCTATGAAGAACCTTGGGAAATGTAACCTTAGCTGAAAACAATAGATGTCCCTTCTCCAGATGGAATGATTTTGTGAAAGCAAGCAAGCTGCACATTGTTTTGTGTTTCTGGCATCTAAAGCAGAGTTTCCAAAAACTCAAGACATTGCTTTTTTTTCTTTCATTCCACTACCAATGAACAAAAAGTGCATACTCTATTCCACCAAGGTTGATGCCCTCAAGAAATGCCCAGATGCCCTCTGACGAAATTCCACCATGAGGGGCAGCTAGGTGGTGCAGTAGATAAAGCTCTGGCCTTGGAGTCAGGAGGACCTGAGTTCAAATCTGGCCTCAGACACATGACACTTACTAGCTATGTGACCCTGGGCAAGTCACTTAACCCCAATTGCCTCACCAAAAAGCAAAAAAAAAAAAAAAAATTCCACTATGTCTGGATACCTTTCCCACTATCTATCCTTATTTCTGTCCCTGAGGATTTCTGATTCAAAGATAACTGAATTGTTCTTTTTTCAGAAGTACTGTGTTTCTAGGCATATGCCAACAAGGAGGCCAAAAATTAAAAACAAAGGACTCAAGAAAGGTTTCTAGTAAATGTATAGCCTATATCAGATTATTCGCCATCTTGGAGAGGGTGGTAGGGAGGAAGGGGGAGAAAAATTTTAAACTCAAAAGCATATGGAAGTGATTATTGATAAATCAAAATAAATTAATAAAAATAAATAAATTAAATAAATAATAAATAAATAAATAAATAGAAAGAAAGGTTTCTTGGTGGCACAATGGATAGAATGCTGGGCCTAGATCCAGGAAGACCAGCCTCAGACACTAGCTGGGTGATCCTGGGCAAGTCACTTAACCTCCCTTTGCCTCAGTTTCCTAAGTTGTAAAATGGAAATGATAATAGCATACCTACTTTCCAGAGATTTTTGTGAGGGTCAAATTTGATGATATTTGTAAAGTTCTTGGCACAATGCTTATTTCTTTCCTTCCTTCCATATGCTAACATAGTAATAGCAGCACTTAGGTAGCAAAGAAATGGAAACAAAATCCAGGCCTGTGAATTCAATGGTATAGACAACTCTGGGTGTGAAAACTTCCTCCACTAATGTAGAATCACTTATTGTCTTAGAGAATTGCCTGGTGATTGATCACTTAATCACTAAGAAGTGAGTGAGTTGCCCATGGTCACACAGTCTATCCACTAGGAAATAAACCCTTGGTTTATGGTATGTGAATGTAACAGACCATTATTGTGTTAGAAGAAACAATGAATATTAGCAATTCAGAGAAGCATAAGAAGATTTGTGTAAATTGATACAGAGTAAAATAACCAGTAACAGGAAAAGATATGTAAAATCACTACAATAATGTAAATTGAAGAAAAAAGAAAGAAAAAAATACTATCTAATTATAATGGCCAAGCTTGACCCCCAAAAATGGTTAAGAAAATGCCTCTCCCTGCCTTCATTGTAGATCTGGAAAACTATAGATGTAGAATATTGCATATGTTATCAAACAGTTGGTTTTAACAAATTGCCATTTTCCCCTTTCATTTTTATTATTTGTTACAAAAGATGGCTCACTAGGAAAGTGGCGGGAGGGAGGTTCAGAAATTACTGTAATGTAAAAACAACATATCAATAAAGACAAAATTTTTAAAAGAAAATGTAATATGATAATATAACTATATGTAATAGAAATATAGTATAATAGATT